GTTTCGGAAAATAAAGAAAATTAATTAAAATAAATTAATTAAAATAAAATGACTAGAGAAAAACAAGAAAGGAGATGAAGCAGAATTAGTCAAAGCTCGTGCTACGCACGATTTCTTTAAAACGTATTTGTTGCCTCCCACAGTGCTAGGAGCGTTGCAACAATCGTTTCCCAGGATACGATGACTACGAACTAATGTTTGAGCACACAAACAAAAGTTCCAGCAAACGAGAACACAGTATGAATACTGAGGGAATTTTCAGAATGCTAGCAGTGTGTTTTTAGAGGTGCAAAAGGTGCTTGGAGTGTATGAATTCCTGTAAAATCGTGTGTTGTTGCAAACCACCTACCAGCCTTTATATAGGAGGATTTGTTGTGTGTAAATGGTGAATTAATGGACCTGAACGTGGAACCTTTATATAGGAGGGGTTCTGGTACGCGGCCATCAGAACACCAACGAGGTGTTCTGTTCGAAGCCTTTCTGTCAACTGGGAAAAATTTTACGTTTCGGGAAGAAAACAAAAATTATCCGTTTCTCTTGAGAGAAGGATTTTTGGACGACATTCGTGTTCGCAGGTCGCCCGCGCACGCAAGTCGCGGTTTTTCTTCTTCGAATTCGGGATTTGATTTGCACCCCCCCTGCGCGCGTGGAAGAGAGCCTTTACCCTTAGGAATCTTAACTCCTTAAGGGGGGAGTCCCTTTATAAAGGGTTGCAAATCCCTTGGGTTTTCCGGTGTGGGAAATTAACACACTAGAAACCCATCCTTTTTCCCTTCTAACGAGTAAACTTCGAAAAACAATTTCTCATTCACCCGTTATCCGTTTTGAGCGTACCATATATCGAATTGTAGCCCTAAGCAAGGACAATCCGAAACCACTTTGACCCGAACCAAATTGGAAGTGGACCCCACTCAAAAAATTGCCCCAAAATAGCCATTTAATGCAATTTTTCACACATTTTTCCAACACTGAAAGATATATGAATTATCAATCCGGGACCTGAAAGGTGAAATGTATCGGTATATGACCTGCATGATGAAAATGTATATCTTTGACCTAACCTTTCATAGATTTTGATTTATTTAGTTTTTTTTATTAATTCCATCACTAATATTTGATGAATTTTTCTTCCAAAAGTTTATTAGTTTAATAAAACTAAATAATATTTAACTTTTTTAAAATAAAAATAATAATAAAATTTGTGAAAACTTAGATCCTCTATTGATTGTATTCAATCATCCGAGTACTAGATTAGTATTCCATCATTCGGGTCATGTACCGATACATTTATTTTTCAGGTCCCAGATTGATAATGCGTCTATCTTTGAGATTCCGGATTGATGAAAATTACAATATCTATTTGTATTTTACATTTTAACTCATACTGCGTATCAAATAGACGTGCTACCGGGGCATGCCCTGGGTTTTACACTAGTATATAGTAGAAAACTTTGAAAGTCCAAGGGGCGGTCCCCCGCGCCCCCTTAAATCCATGTGATGACGCGATAATAGCAATAATATTGATGATGGAACAGTTGTTATACCGTATGACCGGTATACGGTGAGCACCGTATACCGGCATACGGTTTTTGGCAAGCAGCGTATTTGGCAAGCACCTGATCTTTATTCTTTATTTCTCTTTTTTTTAAAAATGGTAATAACTTTTTTATTTTTTATCCGATTTTTATAAAATTTATACCAACATTTTTTATTTTTCATGATCTTTCAAATGAGACCAATATTGCCTATGTAATTTTAACCTATGTAAAATATGTAATTTTACGTGTAGAAATATGTAACTCATGTCCAGTCAGGCCAAATGCAACTCGTGTGTATAAATATGTAACTTTACGTGTAAAAATATGTAACTTTACTTAAAAAAATATGTAACTCACATTCAGACAGGTCAAATGCAACTCGTGTGTATAAATATGTAACCCGCGTGTATAAATATGTAACTTTACGTGTAAAAATATGTAACTCTAAGTGTAAATATATGTAACTCGCGTTCAGGCAAGTCAAATGCAACTCGTGTGTATATATATGTAACTCGCGTGTAGAAATATGTAACTTTACGTGTAAAAATATGTAACTTCACATATAAAAATATGTAACTCACATGTATAAATACCTAATACAATAAATTTTTTATATACACAATTTTAAGATAATTTGTGATTTACACAATTATTTTTCTGTATTAAATTTAGTTTGGTTTTCCTTATAATCCAATACACACTAATATAATAGTTCGATAATTTCTTAAAATTACATAAGCAATATTGGTCTCATTTGAAAGATCATGAAAAATAAAAAATGTTGATATAAATTTTATAAAAATCGGATCAAAAATAAAAAAGTTATTACCATTTTTTAAATTAAAAACAAAAGGATAAAAAATCAAGAAGTCAGGCCTCAATACTCTGTCCTTTTGCAACCGGGCGCACCATCCTCATGGTGCGCCGGTTGCACGATATAATTTGCGATGATGGAAGTGATTACGTGGTAATAATAGCAATAAAGACGAAGGAATGACGCAACCAATAGTTCCGCACCACTGGAATAATTACTTCCTGGCCCCTCAATTTACATTATTCTTACTTTTTTATGGGATAGTACTCAAATACAGCTCGCCGGCCTCATATTACTCGCTCCCTCATATTACTCCCTCCGTCCCGAAAACAACCTCCCGGTTTGACTTTCACACACTTTTAGAAAATAAATTTTACTTTACTGTAGAGTGCACTGTTTTGCACTGTTTAAACACTGTTTTGCACTGTTTAAACACTGTTTGGCACTGTTTAAACACTATTTGACACTGTTTATCACTTTTTTTATGTAGATAATTTGCCAAATAAGGAAAGTATTGAAGTGTGAAGTTAATTTTGGGACATCCATTTAAGGAAAATGGGTAAATCCAGCAGAGAGGCTGCCAATGCGGCGGCGCCACCACTAAACCACCTCCGCGTGCTCTCAACCAATCTCTTCATCAACAGGCTTCACATGCTCCTAAATGGGATAGCCATAACCGCCATTCTCTTCTACAGATTCTCCGGCGCCGGAATAAAGATGATCAAAAGTTCAAAACGGAAACACGGCTACCGCCACCTCTGATCGGTGTACCGCTATCGACTACCGTATATGATCGTCGCCATCTCGGAAGTGATCCTGGTGTTCCTATGGGTTCTGCACCAAGCCTACAGATGGAGGCCGGTGAAACGCACGGTGTTCCCGGAGAGGTTGCCGGTGGCGGAGGAGGCGCTCCCGGGGGTGGACGTATTTGTGTGCACGGCAGACCCGGGGAAAGAGCCGGCGGTGGGAGTGATGAACACGGTGATATCGGCGATGTCTCTGGACTACCCCGGTAACAAGCTGGCCGTGTATATCTCCGACGACGGAGGGTGTGACGGGACGTTGAATGCAGGGACGGATTTAAGGGGGGGGCGCGGGGGGGGCGACCGCCCCCCTTGGACTTTCAAATTTTTCTACTATATATGTAGTATTTTCATAAAATTTTCATACTTTAATTAGATATATATGTTTTCGCCCCTTGACTTTTAGTTTTCAAAGTTATTACTTTCCTCCGTTCTTTAATTCTTGCAACAGTTTTACTTTCACATTTGCCAACGCACAACTTTGACCGTAGTTATATTTAGTTATGTATTAGCAAATATTATAAAAAGTTAATATTTTGGAAATTCCCATTGATAGTCATTCAATAACATTTTATACGTAATAATTTGATTATGTATATATGTAGAAAATCGTGGTTAAAATAAGGTCTGTGAATAGTGCAAAAATTACAATGTTGCAAGAATTAAAGAACGGATGAAGTATATTGTCTTACATAGTGTAATACTTAATTGGATATTTAAAAGAAGTAAGATCTAAAATAAATTAGATAGTTTAAGACTTAGGGTACCTATTATATAAAAATTCCTAGGCTTTGTAATATTTGATTATCTTTATAGATAATTAGTTTTAAATTTTGTAAAAGAACAAATGATATTAAATATCAGACACACCAGTTAAACAGTTTTAAATCATGTGAAGTGAATCCAAAATATATATAAATTTTGTTGACATTAAATTATACAAGTCATTTACTTCTTACATTCTTAAAGCAATTTATTGCATAAATAATAAACTTTAACGTATTTTAGCATTAATACAAATATAATATGTACCATATATATGAATTAACAATACTATATATAATATTATTCTAAAGATAATAATCTCATACATACTATTGTAATATTAAAAAAACTTCTCGTGACCCATGAACACCCTCCTTGGTAGACAAAAACTACAATTCAAAAACCATTTCTTTATTTCGATAAGATTCATGTGGTTAAACAAGAAATAAGTTATTTAAAAGGCATCGATTGATGTTTAATTACCTTTCAATTTTTTTACCTTCAAATAATCTGACAAAATGTTATATATCCTTTTCTATTTTCAAATAAATTTCCTTTGATTTGCAATTTCTTATGCTTTAATGTATCAGTACTTTTTTCTAGAGCATTCACGGTTACAAAATTAAAGCTATTTTTTCATTCTCTAAACTTAAAATGTAATAGATTTAAAGAATTAATTCCACTTTTGGTCCTACGAGTTTTATGTCATTTTCACATTTAGTCCACGTCTTTCACTTTGTCCACTTTTGGTACTTAACTAATGTTTCTTGTCCATTTGATGTCCTTTTCCGGTGATTTTAACCACCGGAATAATTGTTGGAAGGACCATATGTAGACGAAAACAAAATAGTCATGTATCAAAAGTGGCTAAAGTCAAAGATGTGGATCAATTGTGGAATTGGTGTAATACTCATAGGACCAAAAGTAGAATTTATTCTAGATTTAAATGTTATCGTGTATGTACTAATGATTTTTTTTGAAAAAAAATTAGCCGCGCAGCCCTACAATAGTGAAAAAATTTCGTCTCGCCATACTAGCGAAAAACATTTGCCCCGCTACATTAGCGAAAAAAATTTCTCCCCGCTACACTAGCAATTTTTTCCTGCCCCCTACACTAATAAAAAAAATTTCGCCCCCCTTGACTCAAAATCCTGGATCCGTCCCTGGTTGAATGCCGTCCGGGAACCGTGGAAGTTCTCCAAGTTTTGGGTTCCTTTCTGTCGGAAATATAAAATCCAAGTTAGCTGTGCTGAAGCTTATTTTTCTACCTCTGCTCTACACGATGAAGATAACAAAAGCCATGAATTCTATGCTGATAGAAGGATGTTGAAGGTAAGTACCTATTAGTAGTATATCGCAAAAATTTTACAATTAACTTATGCTTTGACAAATTTTGGATCATTATTGTATTTTCAACCACACATATGATCCTGCCGTCATGTTTTGGTGGCCAAAATTGTCGGGAAAGGATCACAAATGACCAATTCTAAGAAACATTAGTTAAGTATAAAAAAAATGAACAAAAAAAAATGAACTAAATGTAGAATTTACATAAAAAAATATAGGACCACAAGGGAAATTAAATCGTTATTTCTTCTCAAAATACTTAGGGTTTAACTATAATTTCTTTCTTATTCGTCTTCAAAACAAGAGATTCTTACAATAATATTATTCCCTCCGTCCCCCTATAAGTTTGTCTCATACTATATTTGATAAAATTTGGATAATTACAATTCATTCTTACTTTATTCACACTTTATCAATTTAATATCAACCACACAATTTCATTTTTTCTTAAATGTTACTCCATATGTACGTCACACTCATTTGTCCCAAACATAGTGGGACGAAGGTTGTTTACAAAAATATTAATTACTACAATGTAGTGTCATAGTAACTTAAGTAGTATTTGCCTCATATAGGACTAAAAGATGGGAGAAAATCCAAAAGAGGACCATCTATGTTTTTATTCTGAAATGGGACTGTTTTACTCCTATTTGAAAACGTAAGGAATTTCTCATTCCATTATTACCCCTGCTGTGTTAGCCGATAGATCCAAGCCTCATAAACAGATCGATTCTTTTCTCTCTCTGTGGCACCACCAAACAGATCGATCGATTGCTTCTCTCCATCGCACCTCTTCTTAGTTCTCAAAGATCGATTGGTTTCTTTTGCCTGCATTTCAAATCGATTTCATCAACAACTAGCTTCATCCCTAGCCGCCGAGTTGCCGACGACTCCACCGCAAGCACGCCGCAGTTTGACCAGGTTTCTTCTTCTTCTCTTCTTCTTCTTCCCCCTCCTCTTTCTCCTCTTCCTCCTCCTCTTCTTCCTCCTCCAATTATTCGAATTTTTGGCTTTGAAATTACTTTTTCTAATTTTTCCTTCCTTCCTCTATTTATTTTAGTTTTGACATTCGATTTTGTTGATTTGTGTACTTCTATTTCAAATTTACGTTTCTTGATTTATTAATTTTTTGAAAAATTCCACTGTCCAGATTTTTGGATGAAAACATACGATTTTGCCATGTTTATGGCAGTTTTTTGGATGATGGTATACGATTTTTGCCATATTTATAGCAGAAATGTAATCTGACAATCATATTATGGCAAAACACTTTTGTGAAAATCAATTTTTTATTTTTATTTTTTGTGATTCACTTCTTATTTGTGATTGAGATGAATTTGTTAAAGTCATTGTTCTGTTAAAAATTTTGGGTTTTCAGAAATTTAGTTGTGGACTTCATATGTTGCCAAGATCATGGCAATTTTGTGTAAATCTGTGAATATAAATCTGCCATCATTATGGCAGATCTAAAAATTTGTTTTGATTTTTCTGTTTTTTTATCAATAGTTTCGTTTTCTAATTTTCGATTGTCTTAGAATGCTTATTCGATTAAAAGATTAGTTGTTTGAGTATTTGGTTATTTATTTCGTGCTTTTCTATTTTTGTCAAATTTATGGCAGTTTTATATTCCGTATTAATATTTCAAGATGAATCTGTCACATGGCAGGTGTGAATCTAATCTCCAACAATAAATCTGCCACTTTAATGGCAGATTTATTCCGCCTGAGTTAACACAGTGGTGACGGTACTCAGAGAATGGTGGCGGCGGTGGATGACGACTCCGGTCAGATGGTGATTGCGGCAACGCTGGTGAGAGGTGGTGGCGGCGACGCTGGTGATGGATGGTGACGAACGCCGGCAAGGATGCGGCGGCAGGCGGCGATGGCGGCGGCGGCGGCGGCGATGGCGGCGGCGGCGGCGATAGGTGGTGGCAGGTTGCGCCGGCGTGGGGTGGCAGGCAACAGTTTGGCTCGGGCAACGACAGTGCTACTGCTAGGATTTCACAAATCTTTTATTTTACACTTTTGAAATTTTTAAAGTTAAAAGAGGGGTAGTTTTGTCCAAAGGTACTGAAATTGGTCCTATGAAAGTTGTGTTTCGTTTGTGGTCCTAAATGTGCAATTAACTTTGTTATTAGTCCTATTTGAGTCATTAACTCTAACTTAAGTTTAAAAATTGAACATAAGTTACTATGTTTTTTACTATTTTAATCATTAATCATATTTTTGTAAGTAGTCTTCATTTTAATCATAAATATGTACTCCCTCTGTCCCAAAAACAACTTCACAGTAACTATTCATTGGTCAACTTGAATCACTCGTAATCTTTTACTTTTTATATTAAATTTTTATCAAATTTAAATTTTATTGACCAGGCTTTGTAGCGGCTTTAATGTAGTTTCTGAATATGTAAATTTTGATTTACTAAAAATAATCCGAGTGTGAGCAGAGATCGAGTTGCTTTATCGTCAATCAAATATCGTAAACTGAACGGGAAGTTAATTTTGGGACGGAGGTAGTAATTATTTCAAACAAATTTAGATATTCTTTTTCTCCATTAATTCAAAATTGATGATAGTGTATTTCCATTCATCCCTTTTTCTATGTACGGATACATATGTATGTTATTGGCCGGCTGGAATCATAATATCTTCCTGCGATCCTCCAGGAAAAGTATGGCGAATTCGAGGAAGCTTTAGCCAACAATTCGTCAAAATCTGTTCGCAGGGATCATCCGCCTACTATCCAGGTGATGTATCCATCAACTCATTTAAATTCACAATACTTTAAGACAAATGCTACGGTACACAAGTTGTACACAACTTGTTACAAAATGTCAATCATAGGTAACTGATACGAAGTTACCGATGAGAACGGACAAGAGTTGTCTGTGTACATATACAACTTTTGTCTGTGTCCAGAAATATTAATTTTCGTGTAAAAAATTATACTGACAGCCGCCTGACACTGACACCGGCTTGTAAATCAATCTATATTTGTGCAGTGTCTGTGTGCACATACAGTATTTTCCAGATGCACAAACAATTAATTGTATGTGTGCACTCACAATATTTGCCACACAGATATGATCAATTTTAATTGTTTGGGTGAACAAAAAATTAATTATGGATATACATCTAAATGAATGATGTTGTATGTGTGATCAATACATGTAATCTGAAAAAAATAGAAAAATAATAAAAATAGATGAAATAAGATGAATAGACTGATTTTATGCAAATAATGGGAAAATTTGATATAAATAGATAGAGAAAACGAGGATGAAGAAGGGAAGAGGATGATAAAGAAGCGAAGATGATTATCTCATATTTTTTGAGAATTTTCGAAGGGATTGAGTAAAGAGGGAAGAGAGAAGGGAGAGAGGGGGAAGAGAGAAGGAGAGAGAAGGGGGGATGAGGAGTTTTTTTGGGGGCTTTTATACCATGTGCACTTTGTGTACAAGTCATGTAGACAAAGAATTTTTTATATTTTAATTAGAATGGTTCCAATTTCACAGATCAAATCATAATAGACTCGAGCAGATTAAGCCAAATTAGATCAGATTATATCAAATGAGATTGGACAATTCTAAAGTACACAGAGTAAAATGCACCTCTTAATTTATTCTTTGGGCGAAAAGATCACATCAATTTAGACAAAACAAGACTAGACTAGAATTAAGCACATAAAATTTCAATACAATTAAAAATATAGACGAGTTAAGTCACATGCACTTTCTCCTATTGGTTTACTTACAATTCTTTAGTACTAGTCAATTAACCCGTGCGCTACGCGATAGAGTTCGCTTACAATAAACTACCTCTATCCCACTAGCGTTGAGAAATGAGGGGGTGACACGGTTATTAAGAAAAATGAACTTATGTGGTTAATATTAAATTGATAAAGTAAGAATAAAGTAAAAATGATCACTTAGAGCCACACAAACGTTACCAAGTTTCGTATAGGACAATCTTAGTAGGATTTCCCGAAAAGAAAAAATGGTACAATTTTAGCGGGTCGAAGTGAGTGATTCATTTGATAAATAATGATTTTTTAGTGTATTATAAAGTTCAAAATATAGAAAATGAATATGAACGAAATAATTCATAACTTGTATTAAAATAAATGTATGCATACTATTTATTTTTTCTAGAATCTCGGACTGATTTACAAATCTATAGCAGATTCTACAATCTAGAATCTCAAACAATGTCGACAAAAATGGATTATATTTTCTACAATCTAGAATTTCAAACAATGCCGATAAAATTGGTTGAATTTTCTAATAATTGTGTTTCCTATCCACTTGAACTGTTGAACAAATTAAACATCAAATTTCTGAAAATTAATGAAAAGTTAGAATTTGTAGCAACTTAAAATTTACTAGTTCCTTTATATGTCTACTTAAATAAAAACCACCAAGGTCGAACATCTAATCTACCAAACAATGTTTCCACCCGTCAAACTAATCCGCTAGTCAAACACTCAAACCCATCTGATCTGATATCTATTATACACTAACACAATTTGTAAAATCTAACTGCAAAATGCAGAATGCCAATAAAACCATAAAAGTTAGTCATCCTTAAGTATTTCTGTACATATCCTTTTGCAACTAACCTGGCTTTGTGTTTGATTATTTTCCCTTCTGGACTCTTCTTAAGCTTGAATACCCACTTCAAGCCAATGGCCTTTTGATTTCTTGGTAAATCTGAGAGTTCCCATGTTCCATTCTTCTGTATGGAATTAATCTCTAGTGCCATAGCTTCTTTCCAATTCATGTTTCCTGCAGCTTCTTCATAGCTTGAGGGTTCCTCAATAGACAAGAAACACAAACCAGCTTCTTCATCCAGTTCTCTGGTGGCATCATAGATTTCCTGAAGTGATCTGAAGTTTAAGTGTCCTTCAGATGAGCTTGTGTTTGACCTTGGTGTGCTGTAAGGGGAGGTTTGATATGAGGACTCCTCTTCATCTTCATCTGCAGTGGAAGTAGCATCATTATTTCCAACTCTGTCTTCACTCACATGAACTGTGAAGGTGACTCTATCTGCATTTCCTTCTTCTTCTTGATTGTTCTTTCATGACCAACCCTTTTCTTCCTCAAATACAACATCTCTGCTTACAATTACTCTCTCTTTTACAGGATCCAGCAGTTTATAGGCTTTAGAACCTCCTTCATACCCCAGCAGAATAGTGACAATACTCCTATCATCAAGCTTACTAGGATGAGGTGATGTAACTTTGGTATGAGCAAGACATCCAAATACGCGTAAGTGTTGCACATTTGGAATCCTCTTATACCAGGCTTGATAGGGCGTCATTCCTTCAACACTTCTGGTTGGGGCTCTATTTAAAATATAAACTGAGGTTTTGACAGCCTCTCCCCAAAACTTGGCTGGCACATTCTTACTTTTCATTATGCTTCTAGTCATCTCTAGAACTGTTTGATTTCTCCTCTCTACTACCCCATTCTGTTGGGGTGAATATGGTGCTGTGAGGTGTCTTACCACACCTTCATCTTCACAAAACTTTTTGAACTCAAAAGATGTAAATTCACCCCCCCTATCTGTTCTAAAACATTTTAACTTCTTTTCAACTTCATTTTCTGCCAGTCTTTTGAATGTTTTAAATGCTCCAAAGGCTTCATCCTTACTTTTTAGAAGATATATCCACATAAACCGTGAATAATCATCAACAAGCAACATAAAGTACCTGTTTCCTCCTGGTGTAGGTGGTGTGATAGGACCACATAGATCTCCATGCACCAATTCAAGCTGTTGTTTAGCTCTGAAGTTTGCTCTGTCAGGAAATGAACTCCGGTGTTGTTTTCCCAGTGTGCATCCATCACATACCATATTTGAGTGATTTATTTCTGGAACTCCATCCACCATCTTGTTGGTTGTCAGTCTTCTTAAAGCCTGAAAGTTCAAGTGGCCATACCTTGCATGCCATAACCATGCCTTATCAGTCATGCTCAGCATTAGACAGACCTTTTGTGCTATTTGCAGCTTAGCAACAAATAGTCTGTTACCTTGTCTCTTCACCTTGAACATGAGTCTGTTATTATAGTCATATACTCTCAAGTGACCCTCCTTTATGACCACACGGTTTCCATTCTCATCAAGTTGCCCCAAACTGATGATATTACTTTTCAACTTAGGTATGTAGTACACATTGTTTAGACTCAGATGCTCTCCATTATTACATTTAAAAAGTACTGAGCCTAGACCATGTATATTAATGATAGATCCATCTCCAAACCTTACCTTTCCTTTGATGGTGTGATCCATATTTGTGAAGCAACCCTTATCTCCAGTCATGTGATTGCTAGCACCTGTATCAAGATACCACTCTGACCTCTCCTTTATACTCTCTTGCCTTGCTTCTTCATTGTTTATGATCTGAGATTTGGTTAATTCACAAATCTCTATCATCAACAATGCTGGTTCTTCTTGTTCCTCCTTTTCAGTCAGATTCACTTGATCTCCTCCCTCTTCTTCTGGACATTCATAAGCAAAGTGCCCCATTTTTCCACAAGCATAACATTTTATCTTTGATTTATCAAACTTCTTTTTTGGTTGTGGTTCTTCCTCCTTGTTGTGCGAGCTGCTACTTCCTCTCCCCCTACCGCGGCCTCTGCCTCTTCCTCCTCTAGTACTTCTTTGATCTCTAGAATTCTCCTTTTGATGTTTTTGGTCTTCTCTTGCTTTCCACTCTGCCTGGGTAAGCAAAACAGTCTCATCATCTCTTGAACCATGGCAATGAGTCCTTTCTTCATATGCCTTGAGTGAGCCAATAACATCTTCACATGTTTTGGTTTTCAGATCTCCAAACTCCTCAATAGTGGATGCAATCTGCAGAAACTTGGATGAGGTTGATCTCAGGAACTTCTTAACCACAGTTTCTTCTTCTACCTGGTTCCCTAGCCCTCTCAACTTACTCACAATGATCTGTAGTTTTGCAGCATAGTCATCAATGCTTTCCCCATCTGTCATCCTTAGAGTCTCAAAATCTCTCTGAAGAGATTGGGTTCGCACCTCCTTCACCTTTTCAGCCCCTTGGTTCATAATCTTGAGCATGTTCCAGGCTTCCTTAGCCGTCTTCTTGGCTCCTAACTGCAACAAGGTGTCCTCACTGATGCCTTGATAGATGGCAGCTAAGGCCATTTTATCTTTACGTGTCTCAACAGCACCTTCTGCCTCTATTGCATCCCACACCCCTTGAGCCATCATAAACACCTCCATTTTGATGGCCCAAGCTGCATAATTACTCCTTGTGAGCATAGGATACTTCAAGGAGAAAGTATCAGTCTTCACCTGTGATTGTTCTCCAGTTTCTCCGGCCATAGTGGATCAGTTCCCTGGTTAAGCTCTGATACCAAATGTTGTAAAATATCCTGTGTTAACACCACAATAGGATCTAACATACAAGAATTTGATTAACAATCACATAAAGCAGGATGAAATGAGACAGTAGGCTTTTGCATTACTCATGCTTTTTTATTCTTATTAATGGGGAAAAATCCGAAAATGAATCAGATACAAAAAACCCCATACTCACACCTAATATATAGACCCACGCATTACAGGAACTAACTCCAACAAATACTCCTAACTTGGTGCAAGTGTGATAAGTGGTAGTAACCAACTCATGTACACGTACCACCCATAAAACAAATGCATAAAATAAACTCCTAAAACAAAGGGAATAAATACCAACATAGTTTGAATGAGTAAAACTAGTTTAAACGTCCACAAATGTATCCACAATATACAATGTAAGATCTGCTTGCAAATAAACACTTCTATTCCACACATTCCAAATCCATTCCAAGAAAAACTATTCTCCCCAAGTCCACTCACACATAATATTCATTGTGATTCTTGATAGATTCTGAGAATAAATAAGTTTTCTACTGTCAAATACAAAAGGCAACCTATCTTCATATATTCCATACGTCCCACGAATAGTGTCACACTTTCAATCTTAGGACATCCCGGGTTTATTTTCATTTCCTATAAAGATGCAAGTATGCAGACAAAAGTAAAAGTGTTTTTCCATTAACTAATAAGTAATAACAATACTGTAGCGGTGTAGCCAGTGGACCAGAATAAAGTTTTTTTACAATTGTGCCAAAATGACGTGTGAAAAATATTTAGGACAAATGGGGTACTAAGTACTAGATAGCTGAAAGACACCAATACAACAATTTTGTGGACATATCCGTCTTGAAAACAATGAACAATAAATTATGTATGACAGAGTTAAGAAAATCATTTGTCAAAATAACTCCAATAACCTCAACCTTACTGAAAAACATTGAATAAACAAAAACTAGTATTGGGGAGAAGCTAAATCATCAGTTCAGATAATTTTAGGAAATTAAATATGGCTAAAAGAACATGGAGTTCACAATACATACCCTTGATTTTTATTGAAGTATTGGAGTTCAACTACCCTTGATTTTGAATGCTTTGAAAAATTTTCTTTCCGTAGAACCAAATCATATCACTTTTACAAAAATAATTATGCCTAATGTTTTTTCCAACCGTATTACCTATTTAGTTCTAGATTAGGAAACTTATCTCTAACTTTCCAAAACTAAAAAGGATTTAGATTTCCATTTAAAGGTTTATGCCATTTCAAACCATTTCCAATATAATAAGACCAAAACGTCAACCAAGAAAGTATTGCATGTTATTTGTGTTGATGTTGAGAAATGCAAGTGGGTTGTTCGTGGAGTGAGGTTGTTTGGAAGCAACATGTTCCAAATTAAAAGGTATTTTTTTCTATGTTTGTATTTTTCCTATTATGAACTGGTTATTGTCTACTTGTTGTCTACTTAATGTCAGTTAATGTTTTGCAGGTTTGATTCTGATCATACATGCTCCATTGATTTTAGGCAAGGTTGGCATCGTCAGGCCACATCTGATGTTATTGCAGAGCTTATTAAACACCGATATGCAGATGCATCTCGAAAACTGTATGCTCCTATTGACATTATTGTCGACATGAATAGAGATTATGGTGTGATGCTTCCTTACAAAAAAGCATGGAATGCTAACAAAAAGGCTCAGAAAAATTTAATGGGATCAGATGAGAAGTCTTACCAGCTTATGCCATCCATTACGCATGTTCTAGAAAAAAATCCAGGCTCGAAGATCTCACTTATTATTGATGATCATGATCGTTTTAAGTATTTTTTTTCATGCCATTACATCCACTGTTTGAAGGTTGGAAACACTGTGTTCCAGTCCTTATTATTGATGGTTCTTTCATGAAGTCTTATTATAAAGGCACCTTATTAACAACATGCGCTCAGGACACTAATGACCAGATATTCTCGTTGGCTTTTGGTATGTGTGACATTGAACGAAAGGACACGTGGCTTTGGTTTTTTAAGATGCTCAAGGAAACTCTTGCTCATAGAGATGACTTATTTATTGTCTCAGATCGTCATGCGGGGATTATTCATGCAGCAAGGGTAGTTTTTCCACACGCTGAACATGGATACTGTGTTCAACACATTTTAGGCAACATTAGAACAAAGTTTAAAGGTTGTGATGGGTTGGCATGGAAGTTTAACCGGACAGCCAGGGCTGCCTCTTCTGCTGAACTTGAAGAGTATTTAGCTTTACTAGATTCTGAAGACGCTAGTATTCGTCCTTATTTGAGTGTTATTGGTTTTGAGAAGTGGACCGCTGTTACAGTAGGCGTTCTAGGTACTCTGTGATGACATCTAACAATGCCGAGTCCCTGAATTCTGTAGATCGTATCCCTCGGGAGTACCCTATAGCAAAGTTGATTGATTTTTGGTGTGGCAGGATGCAGAAATAGTTCTACGAGCGTCGAGAAAATGCTAAAAAAAATAAAACTATTATGTTTGAATATTTTGAGACCAAGCTACTTTCTTTCCATGCTGGGTCTTCTATGATGCTGGTAATTTAATTCCCCGTTTGTCCTTTTGATTATTGTTTTTTTATATAATAATAGACTTCTATTTACTGTTTTGCTTTTTTCTTACTGATCTTTAGGTGAAGCCTGCCAGTTCATTTGAGTTTGAAGTTGTGTCAAAACCTCCAGAAGCTTTGTTGTTAATTTGAAAGAAAAGACATGTTCATGTCGTGTTTTTCAACTGGAGCATTTTATATTTGTTCACGGGGTTGCTGCAGTTCGTCACCGTCGAGGCTTATCATGTTATGACTACATCTCTAACTATTATTTCACACATGCATAGCTTAGCACATATAGTGGAGAGATGCACCCTATTGATTATTGGTTTGATTGGGATATTCCAGATAATGTGAGATCAGTTATATGTAAACTACCTACTTGTTTGACACGTCCACCTGGTAGACCCAAAAAGAAGCGCATACCATCAACTGGTGTGTTGGGTAAATGGCCCAAATAAGGGGTCGGCCCATTACCCTTAAAATCGGACGAACGTCTTGGGCCATGAGAGTGCACATGGCCCTATGGGCGTCTAGCGCATGAGTACTGGGCGACGAACGTCGCCATCCGTGATCCACGCCGGTCGGTGATCCATTACGAGCAACACAGCTAATTCTACCAAGGGCCGGAATACAAACGGCCCACAACCCTTTGCAGCGTCACCAGGAGCAGGCCCCAAATCCAACTGGACGTCCGTCTCCACAAATTAGGCGGGAAACCTAGATTCTGGCAGGAGGCGCATTTAATGCTGGAGATTCGGTGGTTGAGGCATCAGCCACTCACAGCCTTCCACATCAGCGTAGCCAACTGCCCATTGGTGGTATAAATAGTATCATTTATTTCATTGTAAAGGGTTGACAACTGATGAGCCTTAGCACTCTAGCTTATACTTAGCTCTTACTCGCAGCTCTTCTGCTGCCTTGTAAGACGAACGGCCGGCGAGCCGTAGCAAGCGTATTGTATTGGGGAGTTATTAAATGATTAATAATACCTAATCTCTTACTTGCAATTTATCATCTCTTAATCCATCTTACTTGTTGGTTGGGCTAGTTTATTCATACACACATACATCACTCACTCGAAACATTTGGGCTTACGTGTTGGACCCAAAGGTTGAAGGAATTTCCATCTCGTCAACGTTGTTCTCGGTGCAAGAATGGTGGTCACAACAAGAAATCTTGCACCAATCCTATATCAGTTTATAGACCTTAATATGTATATTTCCCTTTCAACTTTTGTTGTTCTATTCACTATATGAACTTTTTTATTTTACAAACATTTACTATCACTTATGTCTTTCTGTTTTATGGATATTCAATAAAAAGGCATATTAACAATAAGTTTTAATTTACTGTACCTCACTTTTATTGTATTCAGATGTATTATGTTTGTATATTTTTCTTCCTGTCATACATTTACATTGAATTTTAAACATCCACTATATGTTGATATGTTTACTGTCTTATCACTCACTGTCTCTTTATTGCTTGATTAGTGTCTACATTAATTGTTATATTTGTGACCAAATATTTTTTGTCAACGAGACATTCAAGTATGAAGAAATCATTTTTGTATACAATTGAAATTCACTAATTTAAGAACTATTTTATACGTTTATTAAAAGTCACTAGTTTTGTATACAATTCACTCTTTGTATTTGAAATATTTATGTGAAAAACTCTGTTATGTGAGCCACACAAAGTGTATTAGTATATAAGAAACAATTGATTCATAAACTAATGTGGTATACCTAAAATTTTGATTTTAAATTAGTTTTCCATATCTCATTTGTATTTCAAATATTGAACTTACCTTTATATGGTATACCTAAAATTTTGGTTTGTTAATTTACTACTTTTAAGAATTTCTCTTCAAATAATTTGACTATAAAAGACATAATATGAACTTATAAATATACTTATTTGGATTTTGACTTGTAAAAAAACATGACATTAAGTGTCATTTAATTTCTACTTAATGGCATAAAATAGATATTAATATGGGTGTTCATATAAGGGAAAGTTCCTGAAATAGGACTAAAACAGTTTCAAAATTCCAAAATGGGACTGTCATGTTTTTTATTCCTAAAATAGGAGTAATTACTGCCAAGTTTGGAAAATATTGTCATGTTTGAAGTATGGTACTGCCAAAACATGGCAATAATTAGTCCTGTTTTGGGAATAAAAACATGACAGTTCTATTTTGGAATTTTCAAACCTTTTTAGTCCTATTTTGGGCAAATTCTCTTCATATAACAGTTTTGATTGCACCAATGCATTTTAACGAGTTCAGTACATTCAAACATGAATTAGATGCCCTACAGTACATATTAAGTAGAACAAATATGCTTTGTTTATGATACATATCACAACAAGCATTTATTAAATCTACTTTTTTGTTGACGCATACATAAGTAGTTCTGTCGTCATCTTTTCTCGGTACATCTCCATGTCATCATTTGAAACCTCAGTAGCTTCTCTATCAAGCACTAGGAACTCAGCAAACTTGATCACAAACATCCCACAATTTTTTCCTGCAAGATAAAAACAGATTTCTATTTTTATGTTTCTATATTTATAGCTATATAAGAGATTTATATACATTGTCCATACTCATCTTCCTGTTGTGGACAATTTCGCACCATTTCAATCTTTAATTTTTCCTTTCCAATTACTGTTTCTTGACGTTTGTCGTATACTCCTAATCTCTCCATGACCTTTGGCAAGAAAGTCTCTAAGCATGTCGTATATGACCTGATGCTAGACAATGTATCCCCTCTTCTCTTCAGTGAGTCGTAAACTCGGTTACGTTTTGCATTGATTTCAAAAACTAAAAGAACCCAATGCATCCCTCTATTCAGCGGCATGTATACATAATCAGCATCTGCCCATGGCATGATATTTGCTTAGCTAGTACCCAATATGCTATTCATTATTGTGTCATTGTTTTTCCTCTGCCAGTGTTGTCTTTTCGTTTTCCATCAATCCAGCTTTCATCTTTATCATCTCAATGAATAAAGGATCTGTTGTGGCAAACTTTTGCTTCAAATTATATTGCTTCCTTTTCATGCCTAAGTAGAAAAATGCTAATCCCATGTGCTGAAATACATAAAACATTAAATTGGTTTAATTTATTTTATTAGTCTTTTCAAACATTATATAGATATATACTACTATATATATAGGGGAGGGTTCCAGTGAGAAAGGACTCCCAGGAGAGAAATGAGAATGAATGTGGACCGTTGGATTGAATTATGTGAAATTGAATTGTGCATTTAGTAAAACTGAAATGTGCATTACGTGAAATTGAAATGTGCAGAATGAAAAATAAAACTCAAATGTGCATTACGTAAAACTGAAATGTGCAGAATAAAAGGCACAAAATGCCACCACATCGTAGTTTTTATTGAGCATATTACAGCTTCACACAATGCACATTTCAGTTTCTCCTTATGCACAATTCAGCTTCACACACACACACACACACACAAACACACACACACACACACACACATATATATATATATAATCAGGTTCAAGTGAGAAAATGATATTAGGAGAGAAATGAGAATGAATCAGGTAACATCTTAACATCTTGACATTAGTTTCGGACATTATGACGTGCACTTTGTCGTGGTGTGCACTCAAAATAAATATCAATACAACACTTATACGTAGTATTAGCGTAGTAAGGTTCGTATCCGCAGGGAAAGGAATACTTCTCTTTTTAATTTAATAGTAACAAGGGGTTTTTAGTTTGATTTGATGAACTTAAATTATATTTAAACATGAAGATGAACGACTTATGTGGTTTACTTAATGAGAAGAAGACTTGGCTTTGCTTTTATCCACTTAATGAAATGTTCGTCGATCCCGGTTATATCTTTAACTATCTTCCTCTCGAATACTCAATCGAGGAGTATATCCAGTTCATCGAGGGTAGTTATTAATAACGAGACGCGTTCATTAATAAAACTTACTACCGAGTTAACATAGAACACGCGCCGTATATTAACCCGATCGTAGCAATAAAATCAAGATGAAAATGGTTGAGATTGATAACCTCAACACAAGCGGTTTATTGGTTTAAACAACATAATTAATTCCCCTTGGTTTATTAACCATGAAACACATGCATTTATAACCCAAGTTTACTACTGTGAAACGATCGAACGATTAACAAGCGTATTCGTCGATCGATTCTAGTAATAATTAATATATGAAACAAAACTAGTTGATCCTTTAAGTAATGTTCAAAATATTAATATGAAATATGAATAGGAATTAATTAATACTCAAGGAAGAATATTAAAGAAGATGAATCCTACTATAGTTAATATCAAGATGTTAGCTAGCTAATTGTCATCTTAGTAACACTCCCCAATATTAACATAGAGGAAGAAATAACTATTACTATAACTAATGTCAAGATGTTAACAAATTGTCATCTTAGTAACACTCCCCAACATTGATATAGAAAGAGTATTTAAAAAAAGAATTAATATTCAAGGAAGAAGATTAAAGAGAATAACTCACAACTTACAAATTCATTAAGCTTCAAAGTAGCAAAACCAAGATGGAAGAGTTTAGCT